ATAAAAGGATTTAAAAATTTTAATTCTCATAACTTCGAAATTTCGTAGGTATAATTTTTGAAACATTTTTTCCATGTTCCTGGTACCTTATCTTACATTGCATTTTTTCTGAGGCGCGAGTTCTGGCGCAGCCTGTATACAATGTCTTCATAAATGATCAAAAGGCACGTGAATCATTGTAATTGAAACAATAACGATTTTGCGTTTTTTATTCTGGTTATCCCGCTTACGTGATACTGTATATGTCCCATCGAGTTGGTAAATTTTATTTACCTTTTAATGTTAAAATATTTAAAATTTTAGAGTTAAAATGTATTTTTGTAAGCAAGTCTAAAAAGTCTGACAAAACCTGAGGAGATTTAAATTTTGTTGCTAACCTTATACATATACTTGCATATACTATAATCTAATGATAAGATATTCAGTTATTGCTTAAATACCGCATGTATTATGTCAATTATGATTGTCAACACATTTCATACATTGCTAACATGCTCGTAATATTACACCTAACTAAACAGAATATGATATCCAACGTAAAGAAACTAAATCAAAATGTTGGTATCGCACATGAGCTCTGAATTATTCAAACAACAATTTATGTCAAAAAAGCAAGAAATGCTGGATGTTCCCTAAATTTCGAACAAAATTTTCACAACTTTATGTACGAGTATACAGTATGTCTCCGGATTGAGTTTACAAGAGGAAAAAAAATATCTTTAATTTTACGCCTAAACTGCAAAGGAAAAACATTTTTTGCTTCACCTAAAACGAACAAATCTTCAAAACCTCATTATTCTAATTCAGTGAAAAGAAAAGTTTTTTTTTTTCTTAATTTTTGACTTAGAATAATTTTTCCCTGGTTTTTAAGTCCTATCACATTGGCAGTTTTATTTATTTGACAACTATACGTCACTTTGACAATTAATTTATCAATTAAATAATCATAGTTCTTGTTAAAAATTACTTTGGTTTTTATCTTAAAGCTGTTTCTTTGAGTTGCTATTTGTTAAAATTATGTTTTTCACAAACATTTTTGTTATTTAATTTGCGTAAACTTATTTGTAAAAGTGACATCATTGTCAAAATAATAAAACCGCCAATGTGATAGGACTTAAAAAGCAGAGAAAAACAAGTCCAAAATCAAGAGAAAAATTAACTTTTCTCTACTGAGTTAGAATAATGAAGTTTTAATTGCAGATTTGCTCGTTTCAGGTAAAGCAAAAAATGTTATTCCTCTGCAGTTTTGGCGTAAAATCAAAGACATTTTTTTTCCACTTGTAAACTCAATCCGGGGACATACTGTATAATTATGTTGTATTTATTTAATTAACATAAATTTGAATATGTACTAAAAAATAGATATTTAGATCCTTTAAGTTGATGCTTTTTAAAAATTAATTTAAATAAAAAAACATGTATTTTTATGCTTTTGTTGAAAAAAAGAGCATTTTTTCTTTAGTTCCTTGGAAGTCCTTTTTATTTTAGAACAGTAGATTCTTCTACTTTCAGAAGCTATTGGACCTTTTATAAGTATAAGCTAACACAAAAATAATTAAAAGTAAAAATTATTTTCACGTCTACCATTTTTCAGTAGAATCTTTCTCTACAAAACGATGATGCATTTAAAGGTTTTGTTTCAGAGATGTTTTTTTGTCATTGATTTATGGACAAGTAGTAATTTTATTCATGAAAATAAACTGGGTCTGCCTACTAAATCGTAAATAATAATCAAAATCATATTTGCATTGTAAAAAAATACGTTTTTTTTTGTAAAATTATTATGAGAATATAATAATATATAGTTGTTATTTCTAAATCACATGAACATTCATTTTGATTTGCATTTTACATGTATTTAATTTTTATGCTTCTTTTTACTGATAGGTAACAAAAGTTTGCTTGGTAAAATAAGTAATAAAATATAATTTTATTATTTTCTTAACGGTATTTTCTTAATTGTGCATTGACAAGTTAATTAATGTGCAAATGAAAAAACGATGAACGCTTAGTAGAAAGCAGTAAGAATAGGTGTCTATTAAATTGTCAAGGAATATGGATAACGCAACTCTGCGTGACTCATAAACAATTTGGATGAAATAAATGGAAATTATTATTAGACTTTAATTTATTAGTGAGTACCGTTTTAAGAATTTTTTTTTAATTTCCTAAAGCTATGTGAGAGAAAACTCCAAAGGTTATGTCTTGTGATGTGACTGATTGAGGAATATGCAAGTATTTTTCGAATTCTAATTTCATTTATACCACAGTATTTCATATAAAACAAAACAACAAATAGTTTTCCGAGTACATATCATTTGTCTCATGACTAGAATTTTTTGCAAAAGATCGAAAGTGTATTTATAAAATCTTAATGTTTCATTTATTTTTTTATTTATTTTGATTTTATAACACATTGTTATTATAGGTAATTCAAGGCGCAGTTCACTAGAGTCTCCATCTGCATATTCCATATCCAACAGTGTCGAATCAAGGAGCAGCAACTTTATCGATTTTAATGGCTCTAAGTATAAAACATATCGCAAAGTGGGTAGAAAGTTTATTAACCGTAAGTATTTTAATCTTCATTTATTTATACTTCCAATAAATAAACCGGCTTATCAAAATTACAGTGATCTGTTTACTGTTATTGATTGGTTTTACGTATTTCTGGTTGCATAACCTGGCAGACTTTTTTCCGCAACGAATTAATAAATTGTTACGTATAAAAAAGTGAAAAAGTCAATAGACCTTGATTAAAACAACTAATTGCAACAATAATTATTTTTTGCTTTTATGTGTTAATGTTAATTAACTTTTCATAAAAATAATTTTATTGGGTAGGTACAATTTATCACAGTTAAAAAAATCAAAAATATTTTTACAAAATGATTTTTTTGAAACAAAACATGCACTAATAAATTTAAGTTAAATGCAGATTATTTCATGATTTTTTTCTAGTTTCTAAATGTATTTTTAAACACAAACTTCAAAAATAATAATGTGTTTATATGTCTATAATGTTTAGTTCAAATACTCAGTAAACATCAGAAAACCTATCATAAATAAGTATTAGCTTCAAATCCAATTTCTCATAACACCGCAATTCGCATTTGTTGAAATTATTATTATTATTATTAGCATTAGTATGAAGTGTATCATACATAAATTACTATGCTATAATGAGTACGTATGGTTATGGTTTGTGAATCTATTTTATATGGCAAAATGTTGATTTTCATCATAATTACTGATGAATGAAACTGCATTGAAAATGGAGATTTGAAAACGCAGGAAACCTTCTAAATAATCATTTCATATAGAATTTATAGACTAACCATAATCCCTTGAGAGTTCTGTATTGAATTACGATCTGCTAATTTTGATGTGGCCAGATGTAATAATTATGTACTTCATATCCGGGGTAGATATTCAAGTCCCTTCCTATTATACTGTTTGACCAAAGTGAATCGGTTATCACTTGATACGGAGTGTTTATGCATGTATGTATTTTAAATTTTGATAGAATTGGTAATGTATCAGTCTTAATTTCATCAAGAGTAGTTTTATTATAGTCGCACTCGGATTTTGTTGTATGCACATTCTAAATGCAAGAAAATTATTGTTCATAACCAAGCGGGGTATAGTACTTTTGCTTTTTAAACACTAAAAGGTTTTAATAAATAGACATATTTTTATTTTTATTAAGTTACTCAACTTTTAATTTAACTTTTAATAATAATTTAATTTATTTAACTTTTTGGTCAAACTTGCTAAAGAATTCCTTTTTTCTGGAGTCAAGGAAATTATTCCAGAAGAATACTTACGAGTTAAAAGCAAAAAAAACATGCTTTATTTAAAAAAAAAAACATAAATTTGTATTACGATTTATTTTTCAGACAAATGTAGGTATACATTTATACACGAAATCTTGAAAATACATATTACCTAGATGCATTTTTATAATACCTAGCAGAAAAATTAAATTTCGCATGTCGGTAATAAAGATTTTGCTATATCTGATGATGTACTATTTGCTTTCATTTCATTGTACAGGGTGCTAACTAAAAAGTAATCAAATTGTAATACTCGAAATATGTTTTTCTACTCCCACGTCTAAAACTCGGATTATCGTATATGTTTCCATGACGCCAAGTGACATTTTATATACATCTTGACAAGCCGTGACTAATATGCGTATTAGTCACGTTGCCAATAGCAACTGTCGTATTAGTTACGGGCTGAAGTTAGCTTTCTGTCATTTAATTTTTAATTATTTTAATAATTTAATTTAAGTAAAATTTTTTGTGGTGGTCGTAGAAGAAGTATAGTATGTAACACGTGTATAAACTTCTCTAGATATTCGTTTTATTAAATACTCGCCCCGCTGCGCTTCGCTCGTCCCTAATGAAACTTATGTCTAAAGTAGCGTTTATCGCACTAGTTACATAATATACTATTATTAAAAAGTATAAAGACAAGATTTATTTTTTTTTTTCAAAAGCTTTGTTTGCAACTAGGAAAGCAAAAAGATTTTTTATGAACATACTGTTATCGTATTATAAAGTTCAAAGAAGATTTTGCTGGATAAATTTTTTTTTTTGTGATTCACTTTCATTTCTGAGACGACACACATTTATACGTCCATCTATATTATGTTAGATTTAGAACAGTGTAAAAGTACGTATATGAATTTTTAATATTTTGTGGGTCTTTTGAATGCTGTAAGCAACTCTCGAATCGATATTTACTTTATGAAGCGAGAAACAGAACTCCGAATTTAAATCCAATAACATCCAGCATCACTTCATTAATTACATTTTATATCACGGTGGAATAACAAAATTCGTAAATAACGAATCAGTTTCTATTAGTTCAAAAAATAAATCATATTGGGCTTTTGGTTTTGTATTTAATTTAACCATGTTCAGTTCTTTTTTAAAACGTCCAGAATATCTGTAATTTTAACGAAAAAAATTTCACAGGTTAGTGTTTAATAGCAATTTAACATTCATGTAAGTATAAACCTCATTGGTTAGTTACATGCACTCATTTATTTTTTTAAATTTATTATCAGTTACCCGCATATTAGAATGTTGTTTTAAAAACTGAGGTAATTACGAAAGCATATTCTTATTGTTCATTGCGAAAAATCGCTGTGAAAATTGTTTGTAGTTTAGTTGTAGTTATTATTGTGCTGTTTAACAATTACAATGTAGGAAGTTAAATGTAAATAAATAATTTATTTGTTGTTGCTTTGTCGTGAAAAATGCTTTGTGTGCCGTTCAGACAGGAGTAGGCACTAGCCTATTTTTTATAAATGAAATTAATTAGTGGATAATGTGAATAAAATAAAATAAATAAAATTATTTTGCTAATGTTACCTCAAGGTATGTATACCTAAAAAAATCCACTTGCTTTATTTTGAATAAAAAATTTATTACCTGTATCAAGCGTAGGCTAAACAACATTGTAACTTACATTCTATAAATTTTTAAGGTAGATAAGAAAAATGTAATATCGAATTAAGCTTGCAGCATTCCTCTATGTAAGAACATGTTTTCTAAGGCGTTTGTGGTTTGAAATTTACCATATTTTACAAAACATTTTTCGGACAAATAATAATCGTCAGTTTTGTAGATACATGTTCCATTGTTTTAGCAATAACAAAAATATTATTATTTTGTTTACTCTTCATCAAAAAAATTATTAATAGAAATTAATAGTATAGTTTAATTTGATAATTATTATTTAAAAATTATGTTAATTAATAAGTTTTGTTCAGTTTTACACAGTGAGTTGTATGAATGAGTGATTTTTTTATTATTTCAGTTTGTCAAGTTATTTCGGATGTGATTGTTTACCATAAAATGGTTACAATGTGCCTATTTCTATGCTAATACATCAAGGTGTTTTCTTCTTGAATTAAGTTTTACGACATATTTATTCGTGTGCATGTGCACATAAATGCAAGTAGGTTTATTGTTAAAAACTATGGAAAATAAGCCAATAGCCCAATCATTTTCTTTATATATTTATTTATCTATATTATGTCATTTTACTTTACTACTCCAGTAATAATTAATAAAAATAAGTAAGAGTTTTTGATATTTACTTTGATTTAGATTCATCTCATAATACAGTGGATACGATACTTAATTTTTTTTACACACAAAATACACACGTGTTATTCTGTTTTAGAATTTTATAGACAAAAGTTGTTAACAAGAGTTGAGTATTCTCTCAATTCAACAGAAAAGTGTAGCGTGATATGAAGTTCAAGTCTCAAAGGATAGCCTGCAAAGTCGTTAGGAACACTGAATTTTGCTAAAGCTTTCGCCGAAAATTGCAGAAATATATATCCACAAAGTATATTCCATCATCATATTTATTCCGCACTTTTGAATTTTGGTAATCCTAAATTACTAAAAATTTTTTAATGATTCAATCCGTTATCGCCAAACTCTTTGAAAATGATACCTCGAATTGACAAATAAACAAATAAAATGTCATAAAATTCAGCTTCAAGAGATCATCAAATCGTTTCAGTTTAATTAAATTTCTTCTACATTATGCAACGGCTATAAAGTTATGATGGTGGTAATAAAGTGCACTCGCAGCAACTAAGTCCTTTGAACTAAAAATAGAATAAGGAAAAATAGAGAAAATAAGTAAATAAGTAGGTAGACAACATTTCCGTTTTCTCAAAGTCAAACTTATCCTTTGTGATAAAGTATACTAACCATTTCATTTGCAACTTTGAACTTTTACATTATGAATTATAAAAGAGATTAATTTCACAAAATTGAAAAACTCGAATGCAAAATATTTAAAAAAGTATAACTCAACATAACCACGTGTTATAAAAGTTGAAATAGCACGTGGGTGCGATGGTGAAATTAAAAATGGATCGTTAAAATATATGATGGATTATGTCTTTATTTAAGTTTATTTAAAACTCATTTCCGGAGAGATTTACAAAAAATGGGACTCCGTCTGAGAGAAATCAGACGCGAGATTTTATCTTCTGAATTCCGCAAGCTGAGAATGTCAAGTCATATTCACTTATCTTAGAAAAATTGATTGATTATGATTACCTACAGTTTTTTATTATAATATTTCTGTTCTACCTACGTGTATGTATAAATATGCCATGAGACTCAATCATGCACGAATCTAATGTTTATCAAACAGAATAATATATAAGTACTATTTTCTTAATCTAGTCATTTGAATACCACTAAACTCTGCTCTCAAAAGTAGAACTCGACTTTATCTATGCTGATGTTAGAAAAAGACAAAAATTCAGTGATCTACAGTAGTTTAGTGGAAACAGTAGCTTATCAGTTTCAGAAGTAGGTAATGGAGTGATAGTAAATTTTGTGTCTACTTAATGCACTCGATGATCGTCCATAACCCCGTAAAAGTGGGATTTCGATATCTCAAGTAATGAATTTCCTATCGCTACTCTGCTACATCTCAGGATCGTTAAAGCTCTCTATTTGATGTTGGGCTTATGGGCTTTCGAGTTAATCCACCATATTTAGATGACACAACTAAACAAATTCA